TCTATTGGGAAGTCAACTGGTGTCTGGAAACCACAAAAAGTGATCCTGCAGTGGCAAAGCAAAATTTTAGTATAAGCTAGAATAACTCTCGACTTCAGCAGTATAGTCAGCATAAATGGTAAATGCAGGAAAGCCATGACACCTGATAGGACGCTTGAGAACTTACAGTACTTCTGTAGGGTTGAATTTAATGCCAGTGTGATGTAATACAGTGCTGGAAATGGACCAGAGTTTTATAATGTAATAAGTTGAAATAGAAGCTTGAACTAGGTTTCTGAAGAATTGGAAATTGATTTCTATGTTGAATTTCTGCATTAAATTATGACTTAAACTCCATTCTGTGGGTAAAGTAAATTTAGGAGGAGGAATAAAATCTTCATTCCATAATATAAATAACTTTAAGATCTTTGTTGAGACCATATCAGAAGGGGGTGAAACCATAAACATAATCTTCCCTTACTTTTATTTGTGAATTTATTGATGTTGATCAGGTTTGAGAGTCTGTTATTTTTGTTGTGACTGGGACATGAGGAATGTTCTGGTAATCAAGCCTCACTACTCCAGGGTGTTGCACAATTAGTATAACTGTTTTGATTCAATTTCAAAAGTAGCCAATAGTTTATCTTTTTGTCCTCCTATCCAGAATAAAAGACTTCTGTCCAGTTTTTTTAAGTCAGAATAATCTGTTTATTATAAAACAAAACTCAATTCTAAAATTGTGGCCAAAGATGTTGGCATCTAAGGTATAATCCAGAATTAGAACTGTATCCCCTTTTAATCACAATGCAAACACATTAGCACATCGTAAGAAACAACTAAGACTCTGCAGAGATGATAGTTTAGAAAGGCCAAAAGAAACCACCCCCCTCTCAATATTATGAAAACCAAAGAGAGATTTTGACAGATTGTCAGTCCATTGGATTTCCTATAGTTGGAATTGAATGATTGACAGGTACAGAACTGTGGAAGATCTTGCAAGCACAGATCGATTTGGATGGGAAACAAACTGATTGCAAGTCCTTAGTATTTGCTGTTCACTTTCTCAAAGTTTACAAAATGGCCGAAGTACTGTGATGTGGAAACTTGTTTAGGTTCTGAAATACCTCTGCCAAGAGAGGGGGAGAGAAGCTTGCAGCTTTATTGCAAACTTTGGTGGCTTTCTTCCTGATTAGTCCCTAAGGTTTTGAAACCGAAACAAAGAGCAGAAAGAAATGCTAGGCAACCATCAGCACAGGGACACATTGTCTCTTCCAAAGCCAGGTTTTCCAGCATTGAAATGTAATAAACCCCATCTTTTATTTCTTAAAAGCTTTGTTTAGCTGTTTCCAAAGCCATTCAACTTTATGTAATCAGCAGGTGGATCACAGCCTAGATTAAACTGTTGATTTGAAATCACGTTTTCCCTTTTCCTTTGGTTTAAAAAAAAACTGTTAATCCAGAAAGTGTCCAAACAGTTTTCCTGTTTTTCACATCGTCCATAAATGTAGATATGTAATCCCAACACTCAAGTGGCTAAGTAAATGGTGCAAGCTGTGATCTTTTGAAGCTTTTTTGCACGTAACCACTGAAAATCAGCCATGCATCAATTCAGCTGTAATAGAATTGTTTGACCTCCATCCACTTGTATTTAAAATTATGAAGTAGGAAGTAATCTGCTTGTATAAATTAGTTTTTTGTTGCCTGCTTTTGAAGAAATCTTTACAGTACAAAGCAGTACTTACCAATTCTGCCTTGATGCCTAGATACCAGAAAGATAAATGCGCTAGTGTTTGGAGAGATGTGAGCAACTGCTCTTTTTACTTTGCATGTTTCCTTTTGTTTTATTTTGTGTTACCACTGACAAGGATGTGTGTAGTGTTTGCTCAATTTCACAAATGTGTCGAACTAGTTACTTATTAATTCACAGAGGAAAGGTAATGTCAGGAATTTAAGGAACAGATGCGCATGTAAGAATTCCATTTATCAGAAGAAAATCCCACTGAAACAGTGCCTTGTAGTGGGGCTGCAGCCATTAATGAACAAAAGTTTAAAAAGGTTCTGCAGAAGTTTTTTAATCCAATAAATTACTGTTCTGTCATGAGAAGTTTGAAATCTGAAGCAGCAAAAATTAATTCCAGCAGGCTGGCTCATACTTCATCAACTTTTAACTGATTGACCAGAATTAACTTGTGGCTCCCATATCACAATGGTACGCTGTCAAACTAAGCCATTTGGGCTTTTACCAGTGCTAGCTTCAAGTAGTTTCTATGTATCAGCGATGGTTTGAACCACTTCACTAGTTTTTGTAGGGCAACAAGTTCAGTGGGTTGAGAGAAATAAATTTAGTGTATTTCCTTTCTGTTTCAACAGGTTCCTTCCACAGACCGGAATGCCCTGAGCTCACTCTGGGGAAAACTAGCATCTGAAATTCTGATGCAGAACTGGGAAGCTGCAATGGAGGATCTAACACGACTGAAAGAAACCATTGATAACAATGTAGGCATCTTTGATTATATTGCATGTTTTCTTCCAAAGATTCAATTTGGTTAAGCTGAAGTACAATGATCTTTTGACAAACTTCAGAAGAATTCATCACTAAGCTTTGTTATATAATTTGATACAAATGGAGCTTTGACGTAAATTTTAACTTGAAGGTTAAAAAGTTTATTTCTACTTTTATTTCTTAGTCTGTCAGTTCACCACTCCAATCTCTGCAGCAGAGGACATGGTTAATTCACTGGTCTCTGTTTGTATTCTTCAACCACCCTAAAGGCAGAGACAATATCATTGACCTCTTCCTTTATCAGGCACAGTGAGTACCTTAAAACTACTGCACTTTCATTTGTTCAACTTTGCACATAACTGAATTTAAAAGTTAATTAATGGAAGCATGCTTGTTGAAGGGGGCTGTCATTTAAAGCGTGAGGAATTTCTTCTCTTGAAGAGGTTTAGTGTTTGGAATTCTTGTCCCCAGACAGCAGTGGACGTGGATTCATTGAATATGTTCAAGGTTGAGTTAGAGATCTTTTTGGCCTACAAAGTGATACGTGTTAAGGAGGGTAAGCAGCAAAGTAGAGTCAAAACCACAGTTTGATCAGCTGTGACGTAGCTCAAGGGGCTGAATGGCTTACTCGTGCTCCTATTTCTTGTGAAGGTTGAAAGTCATTCTAGTTTTTTTTCATGTTGTGGACTTGTTCTCTGGTTTTCCACTGGTGCATTTCACCCAGCAACTGAAAAACTTAAGCTGACCAAGTCACTTGCGATCTGACATATTGAATTGTATTGAAATCCAGGAAAGTAGTTGTGCAAGTATTATGTTAATCATCATTGTAGTGATTTTTATTTCTAGCATCTACAATTTAATTTCTTGCCAACAAAGTGGAGTCTGAACGTCAGAGCCTGTAAACAAGTCAAAACATTACATTTGAACCTTGGAGGACAAGGGAAATTGAGAGCTTAGTCAAAGTGTAAAAGGAGGCACATGTAAGGTCTAGGAAACTGAAGACAGACAGAACCCTTAAAGAATCCAAAGATAGCAGTAAAGAATTCAAACAAGGATTTAGGAAGGGTAAAAGGGACTATGAAATGCCTTTTGCAAACAAGATTAAGGAAAATACCAACGCATTTTATACATATATAAGGTTAAAGAGGGTAGCTAGGGAAAGAGTAGATCCATCCAAGGACAAAGGCGGGAATTTGTGTGAACTGGAGGGAGTCGCTGAGGTCCTTAACAAATATTTGCGTTGGTATCCATAAAGGAGAAGGGCATGATAGATAGGGAGTCTTGGGACGGGTATGTTGATATGCTAGGGCATGTTACTATACAAGAGGAGGTGGTGCTGGGTGTTCTGAAAAGTGTTAAGGTAGTCAAGTCCCCAAGATCTATCCCAGAGGGAGCAGGTGAAGAAATTGCTTGAGCCTTGTATGCAATCTTTGTGTCCTCCTTTTAGTCATAGGAGAGGTCCCAGAAGACTGGAGAATAACCATAGTAGTTCTTTTGTTTAAAGGAAGCGCAGCAGAGATAATCTGCGAAATTACAGCCCGGTGATCCTTACATCAGTGTTAGGGAAATTGAGTCTTCTGTCCTGTAAATGTGTCCAAGCCAGTTAATGAAAAAAATGCAGCTTTATAAGTGTCAACATACTTGGGAATTTTTTTCTTTTAAAAGACTGCTATATTCACCATTGCATTCTTCCATGTAATGCCTTTTATGAAGAATATTTTAAGATCATGCACTGAACAGTAGGTGACTGGAGGGAATAGCACTTCTATGATGAAGTTGCATGTTAATGGTTGGAGGAATGCAGTTTTCATTCCTACGTACTCCTAAGGAAGCCTGAATCAAAATCATTACAGTAGAATTTGAAATTTTGTAAGATGTCACAAATATGACTTTTAGCATGGTAATACTGAGGCTACATTGAATGTGGATTTGTTGATATGAACAAGAATATTTTTTTTCTTTATTCATTCACGGGACGAGGGTGTCACTGGCCAGGCAGCATTTATTGCCCATCCCTAATTGCCCAGAGGGCAGTTAAGAGTCAACCACATTGCTGTGGGTCTGGAGTCACATGTAGGCCAGATCAGGTAAGGATGGCAGCTTCCTTCCCTAAAGGACATTAGTGAACCAGATAGGTTTTTCCGACAATTGCAATGGATTTACGGCCATCATTAGATTGTTAATTCCAGATATTTATCAAATTCAAATTCCACCATCTCCCGTGGCGGGATTCGAACCCAGGTCCCCAGAACATTTTCTGGGTCTCTGGATTAATTGAATTCAGTTAGTGAATTAGGAATCATAAACTGGTCTCAGCAATGCTGACAGTAAGACCATCGTGGATGGTTGGAAAACGCCATCTGGTTCATTGTCTATTAAGGGAGGAAATCTGTCATCCTTACCTGCTACCAGGTAACTCCAAACGTACAGCAATGTAGTTGAGTTTTAATTGCCCTGCAATCGGTTATATCAAACTGCTACGGAGAAGTCAGTAAGAATTTAAAACAGACAGAACACCTGGCATTCTCCAAAACATCAGAAAGGAAAACTGTAAACTCAGCTGTTTGGATCTGCAAAGGTGACAAAATTGGGGGAGCTATCCCGCAAACCAGTTATGTAGCTTCCTGATGTAATCTACTATTGAATCACAAATTACAATGTCCCAGGTGACATCATTCCATTTACTAGATCTGTCCTGCCCCATTGATAGAGCAGACACGCCAGAGGTCATGACATAGTACATAAGAACATAAGAACTAGGAGCAGGAGTAGGCCATCTGGCCCCTCGAGCCTGCCCAGCCATTTAATAAGATCATGGCTGATCTTTTTGAGACTCAGGTTCGCTTACCCGCCCATTCACCATAACCCTTAATTCCTTTTACTGTTCAAAAATTTATCTACCCTTGCCTTAAAAACATTCAGCGAGGTAGCTTCACCCGCTTCACTGGGCAGGGAATTCCACAGATTCACAACCCTTTGGGTGAAGAAGTTCCTCCTAACCTCAGTCCTATATCTACTTCCCTTTATTTTGAGGCGATGCCCTCTAGTCCTCGTTCCACCTTATCTATTCCCTTCGTAATCTTATATGTTTTTATATGTTTCTACAGTAGTCTACAGTCAGGAAAGAGTTGCCCTGGGCATCTTCAACATTGCTTCCAACCCTAGGAAGTTTCATGGCATCTGGTCAAGCATGGGCAAAGAAACCTCATGATGACGCCCTACTGTTTCTCCCTTCACCTGTCCAACCTATACCCTTTCCCTCAGCTGATGAATCAGTTACTCCTGCAAATTGAACACCATTTAGAAGCAGCATTGAGGATGACAAAGGCACAGAGGTCAGGAGCTGACTGGATACTCTGGATGGAAGTGTTCAATGTCCATCATCAAGAGTGGCTCAGTAATGCCCCTATTGACTAAGCTGGCTGCATTCTAAAGGAAATGTTGGAATGGGTCTGTGGCAAATGGTGGCGGA